TTTCAATTTTAATTATATTTTTTAGGTATATGAATGAATATCAACACAATGAAAAAGTAATATGAAAGTTAACTACAATATACTTCATTTGTTAAATTATAAATCACTAAAGTCCATTATATTTATAAAACTTTAATGTTTGTGTTCAGGCTTGTTATAAAGGGTATGAAAAAAAGATGTTGTTACCTGAAGCTCAGCAAGTAAAGTACATTCTTAAGAATTATAATTTTCTAAGATATTTTTTAAAATAAAGATATTTATTGAAACAATAAAACATTATATTTAACTTTAAAATTTAAATTAAATAAAATTAAAAGTTTTATTTGATTTAAATCTTTAGAATTTAAAAAGAAAAAATGGATGAGGTAATTAGTTTGCTTTTAAAAACACTGAACTTTTTTATTAATGATATGTGTAATTTCAACTTTAATGTTTTTTCTTGATATGTGTTATTACAACTTTATGTATTTTTTTTTAATTCTTTTTATTTTATTTATAAGTGCATTGAACATACCCATGAACTCCCCCATCCATCCCCTCAAATCAGAAATCCTTACTACTGCCTGCTATTCAGTCCTTATTATATAAATATTATTTACAGTGAAACCAAAGTTGTTTTATTTTTGATTTAAATTTTGTAAAAATTTAAATTAAATTTTTGATTACTTGAATATTTCAGAAAAATTGGATAAGTAAATGCTGAAGTAATAATTGTAATATTAATCAATTACATTTCCAGTGGTTCTGTTTATTTTAAAACTACACTAAATTCTTTACCTAGCAGGCTATTGCCTACTAATGGTCATGTTATCAGATACTTTCTGTATATTAATTCCCCTAAGGTTAAAAGATTATTAATTAAGACTAGTTTTGCTTGTACACAAAACACCCATTTTAGAGATATAAAGTGCAAAGGAAATGAAAGACCTTGAAATGCAGTGACAGGAGAATACTGTTTGCTTTAGAGTATTATAAATAGTTGGGCCTCCTGTAAAAAACTGATTTTGAGCATGATATTTTTCCAAGAAATAATTATAGCTACTTGGGAGAATATCTTGCATTTTATATGAATGTCAATTCATCCAAGTTTGAAAAGTATAATTGGCTAACGATAATGCCTGGACATTATGTCTCTATTAACTTCTTGAGTGATGAATAGAAGGCTCTAGTCTCCAAAGCTTACTTTATTGTTGTCCTATACTTTTCTCCTTCAGTTTTGAAATCCAACAAAGCTGAAGATGTAGTAGTAAATGACCTTGAGGTATACAAAGCTGTTAAAATTGTCCTAAAGAATTGGAGTTATGTTGCTAGTGCTTGATTAAAAAGTCTTAACAGCCATGCTTGGTATCTTTTCCCAAAGTTTGTTACTATGGTGTTGGCTGATCCTGATTTTGACAGGTCTACCAAAATACAAAAAAAAAATGATTTAAGCTTAGAGACCCTTAGAGGAAAAAATTTATTTAAAGGATCTCAAAATCTACTAAACTTTAAAACTTAATCACAGAGAAAAGCTGGTTTTTCTTTGTTCTTACCAATATCATTAGTGCTGTAAGGAAGTGGTATCAGACTGAGAAAGACTTCCAGAAATTTGCATCTTTTAAAGACTTATAACTTTGGATGAGGGTTAATTGTCACTAGTGACTGTGCATAGAGAAATATTGGTTTTATCCAAGAATTTGTTGGCACATCCCACAATGAAGATCAATACCAGAGTTTATTGCTTGTTGTCCGAGAGCATAGAAAGCTTGTCTCCAAAAAAATGCCTTAGTGTGAACTCATAATAATACAGAAATGTTAAAAAGTAATTGTAATCAAGTGGCCTTTTTTGAATGTATCTGATAAATAATACAATTTAAACACGCAGGTTAAAGATTTTGTTCATAACAAAGTTAAAAATGTTTGAATTATGGTAAAAATCACTAAAATCCATTTTTTTATTAAAACATATCTGTTCCTAACATATTAAAAGAATATATATATATATATATATATATATATATATATATATATATATATATATATATATATATATATATATATATATATATAATTTTTATAGCTAATGTCGAATGAAAGAAATAAGGAAGTTGTATTTTTTGAAAAAAAGACTTATCAAGAAAAGTTGTCTGGGAATGCAGATCAATTGATGTAAAGCAAATTGTCAAAATAATTTTTCTCTGCTATATAATTTTACTTGACTTCATAAGTTGTGTTAATGTAAATTTTTTTTACTTCAGAGTTAAAGATATTATAGGTGGAGATGAAAAAAATAAGTAAGATCTTTATGATATTCATTAACCTTTTTCTTTTTTGTCCTGACACATTCAATATCCATTTCAATTTTAATTTTATTTTTTCAGTTTTTTAAATGAATTATGTCAACGCAATGAAGGAGTAATGTTTCCAAATGTAAAAGATGAAATGGTGTTTTTTAATATTTTTAAATGGGTGTAACTACAGTATATTTTATTTTTTAAATTAATAAATCAAAGAAGTTCATTATGTTTACAAAACTTTAATGTTTTTGTGCAGGATTGTCATAAAGAGTTGGAAACAAAGATATTGTTGCCTGAATTTCAACAGGAAAAGTATATTCTAAAGAATTATAATTTTCTAAGATTTACTTTTAATTGTAGATATTATTTAATTGTAATTTAATTGTAGATTTATTTAAATGATAAAACATATTTATTTTTAAAATTTCAAAAAAATTGAATTTGATTTTACCCTTTAGAATTTTTTAAGAAAAAATGGATAAGGTAATGAATTTGTTTTTAATAATACTAAAAGTTTTTATCAATGATATATGTTAGTAGGTTGTAATCCTGATTTAAGTTTTACAATAGTCAAAAAAATCAAAAGCCAAACCCTACCATTGGAAGATTGTACATATGCAAAGTCCTCCTACTTTTTTAATTTTAGTTTGTTTATATCTGCTTTCGAATTTTCATCACTGTTCCTGTAGTTTGTTTGTTTATTTTTATAATATCTTGTACAAGAGAAAAAGTAGAATATAATCCAATTCTAAATAGCTGGTCAATTTTAATTTTTTTAAAAGTAGTTATGTATAAGTTTTGGTTAAAATTTTACCAAATAAATTGCCCAAGTAATATTGGGAAAAAACTTTCGTGACATTTTTGTGCAAGACAATTTAGTGCAAAGGGTAAATTATGACTTGTTATACAAGTTATAGGCATCATTCAATAACAAAAACTTTTTAAAATATTATAATTAATTGAAATATTTTTTATATAAAGTAATATAAAAAGTAAAACTTTTTATACCAATAATATTTAATCTTAATGCTTTCATGTATTTAGACTTGTAGAAAAGAATTAAAATATAAAGAGAAGGTTTTGTTACCAAAAAATATGCAAAAAAAGTATGTTCACAATTGAGCATTTTTTCAAACACTTAGTATTATATTTTTAAAAGCTTACACAAAATACATTGAGGTAAATAGTTTTACTAGATAATCCACTGATCTGTAAATTTTTATTTATTATTTTTATAATCATTAAAATTTAGAAATAAAAAAAAATCACTTCTGCACACTGGTAAAAAAAGCAGTAAATAAAGTGACCTACAAAATAAATTGTTAATTTACAAATATCCCTTAATTTTAACTTAAATTTATGGTTATCTATTTTAATATTTATTATAAAACTCTTTAGAACTTTTGGAATTAATGTTGAAAAGGTAATTTGATACCTCAAAGGTTTATAGTTTTTAAGTAATTGGTAGTGGCTATTGTTAATATTTCATTTGCATTTTAAATCTAACACATCTTTTATTTATTTTAAGGATATTGATTTTACAAAGGAAACTAATTATGATATTAAGGTAAAATTTTTGAACACAATTTTTTATTCTGTGTACTTTAGTTAACAAAAAATGTTATAATATAATATCCATTACTTTTATAAGTATGATATCCATTACTTTTTTTTATATAGTAAGTATATATATATATATAAATATATATATATATATATATACATATATATATATATACATATATATATATATATATATATATATATATATATATATATATATATATATATATATATATATGCTGTATATATATATATATATATGCTGTATATATATATATATATGTAATATTTAATTTTAATTTTCTTAGTTGATTTCAAATAAAAAAAATGAAGATGTTGTAGTTTTTGAAAAAAACAAAGACCAAGAAAAATTGATTGAGAGTCCTGATCAAATAATGTACAGCAATTTATTATAAAAAATTTTCTCAAACAATATATATTATTTTCTTGATTTCTTGCTTTGTAAGTTATTTTAATCAAAAAAATTTTTATCTTTAGGATTAGAGATATTTTAGGTGGAGATGACACAATTAAGAGAAATAAGTAAGATCTTTATGTTATTCATTAACCTCTTTCTTTTTTGCCTTGACACTTTCAACGTCCATTTCAATTTTAATTATATTTTTTTAGGTATATGAATGAATATCAACACAATGAAAAAGTAATATGAAAGTTAACTACAATATACTTCATTTGTTAAATTATAAATCACTAAAGTCCATTATATTTATAAAACTTTAATGTTTGTGTTCAGGCTTGTTATAAAGGGTATGAAAAAAAGATGTTGTTACCTGAAGCTCAGCAAGTAAAGTACATTCTTAAGAATTATAATTTTCTAAGATATTTTTTAAAATAAAGATATTTATTGAAACAATAAAACATTATATTTAACTTTAAAATTTAAATTAAATAAAATTAAAAGTTTTATTTGATTTAAATCTTTAGAATTTAAAAAGAAAAAATGGATGAGGTAATTAGTTTGCTTTTAAAAACACTGAACTTTTTTATTAATGATATGTGTAATTTCAACTTTAATGTTTTTTCTTGATATGTGTTATTACAACTTTATGTATTTTTTTTTAATTCTTTTTATTTTATTTATAAGTGCATTGAACATACCCATGAACTCCCCCATCCATCCCCTCAAATCAGAAATCCTTACTACTGCCTGCTATTCAGTCCTTATTATATAAATATTATTTACAGTGAAACCAAAGTTGTTTTATTTTTGATTTAAATTTTGTAAAAATTTAAATTAAATTTTTGATTACTTGAATATTTCAGAAAAATTGGATAAGTAAATGCTGAAGTAATAATTGTAATATTATTCAATTACATTTCCAGTGGTTCTGTTTATTTTAAAACTACACTAAATTCTTTACCTAGCAGGCTATTGCCTACTAATGGTCATGTTATCAGATACTTTCTGTATATTAATTCCCCTAAGGTTAAAAGATTATTAATTAAGACTAGTTTTGCTTGAACACAAAACACCCATTTTAGAGATATAAAGTGCAAAGGAAATGATAGACCTTGAAATGCAGTGACAGGAGAATACTGTTTGCTTTAGAGTATTATAAATAGTTGGGCCTCCTGTAAAAAACTGATTTTGAGCATGATATTTTTCCAAGAAATAATTATAGCTACTTGGGAGAATATCTTGCATTTTATATGAATGTCAATTCATCCAAGTTTGAAAAGTATAATTGGCTAACGATAATGCCTGGACATTATGTCTCTATTAACTTCTTGAGTGATGAATAGAAGGCTCTAGTCTCCAAAGCTTACTTTATTGTTGTCCTATACTTTTCTCCTTCAGTTTTGAAATCCAACAAAGCTTAAAATTGTATGAAAAATTGTATGAAATACTGCTGAATTATTTAGTATTATTTTTGTCAGAAGAGTCTTTTGGTGATCTCAATAAATACTTGTTAACTTGTTTTTTTACAATAATGTTTTTTAAATCTGTTTTTTTCTCTTTTCTTTAATGATTTCTTTTTTTTGGTAACATCTTATCTGTTTTTAATGACATTTATCTGTTTTCAGGATGGATCAAAAGTATTGTCGAAGAGGTTAGTATATAAAGCAAAATGAAAACTATCAAAAGAATATTAAACAAGGAATGCTACTAACTTAATAGTTAAAAGTTTGGTTTAAAGCTTCTTTTTCTTTTTTTTTTTAAAGCTTACTATACTCTTTTATTATTTCTAAAAAATTTTTTTTGAAGTGTTATTGTAATTAAAATATTACTTCAACAATTACTATTTAAAATATATAAATTTTTTTGTGTGTGTTTATTGTTTTAGCTTAGTTAAACATAAAACATATAGGTGTCCTGTTGAAGGATGTTTCAAAGAGGTTGTCAACCTATCAAGGCACTTACAAAGTAAACGTCACAACCATTGTTGGAGTAAAGAAAGTGCTCAAAAAGCTTTATCCTATTTTAATAAAAGAAAAAGATCATCGGATGTAGAAACACTTTTTCAGTGTCCTTATAAAATGTGTATGGCTATTGTAAAAAGAATTGATAACCATCTCAAAAGAGTACACAAATTTAAATCTACTGATCCAGATTATGCAAAAATGTTGTATAGTGTACAGAAAATTAATCTAAATAATATGCCATCAAATGTTATTTCCTCTCCAAAAAAGATTTTTAAAAGTACTATTATTTCAGATATGGAAAACAAAAATACTTCTTACAATGCAGTGCATTTAAATATTTTCTGCAAAGATAACAGTGGGGATAATAATGCACTTAGAATTGATTTAAACAATGGAAACATTGATTCTTTGCCCCCCAAAAAAATTGCTCTCGTTGATAATAATAATTCATGTAAAGAAGTCACACAGGGTCCACTTGCAGGATTAGATGCTCCACTAAATACATTTTCAGATTCAGAATCAAGCACTTTAGAATTTGACGATGAAAGTGATGATTCATTTGTTCCTGAAGATAATTTTCTAAATCAACTTAATATTAATGTTGAAACATTACTAGAAAAATTTAAAAATTTTTTACTTGGACCTGACAATAAAAGAGAACCGAGTTCTGCATACCGAACAGTAAAAGATATACAACGATATTTTCAACTGGTTAGTACCGAACAGTTTTTTAATGTTTCTAAATTTTTCAATCTTGAAACTATTCGAGACAAATATATAAAAAATCTAGAATCCAAACATTTAAAAGCTGGTTCAATAAAAAAATATTTGTTTTCACTAATTGATTTTTCGACTTTCCTATTATCTGAAAAAGAAGCGCTGAAATTATCAGATTGTAAAGAATCAGATGTAGTTGAAATCAAGCTTAAGCTTAATATGTGGCGAAAAACATATAACCGTGAGGATCGAAAGGAGTTTTGGCATCGTCAAGAAAGGGATTATCAATCACTTGTAACTCCTTCCCAAATTTCTTCCTACTTAGAATCTGACAATGCTGTACAAGCTTGTAATCTTTTTAATTTTTTATGTACAAATGAAAAAGTAATAACTCAGGCCGAGTATATTGTTACCAGAGATCATTTGATACTTCAGATCTTAATTGGTTCAGCTCATCGCTCAGGTGTATGTGCTAATATGACAATAGATGAGTTTTTAAACCATGAAGTTAATGCAGATGGAATGTTTATCATTGCTGTTGCAAAACATAAAACATTTAGCAAATATGGTCATGCATATATTATTCTTCAAGCAGAAAAATTTCAATGGTTATTTACATTTGTGAATAAAATTCGCTCACAAATATGTACAAAGTACAGAAATGTTTTTGTATCATGGTCAGGCCAACCAATGAGTTCTGGAGCTATTAGTCAGCAGCTTGGATCACTCTGGAAAAAATCAGGTATATACCAGAGCAACTCAGGGAAACGCAATGTATGTGCCACACTATTGCGCAAATCTGCATCAACTGGTGTCAGAGAAAAAAATATTGGGAACAAGGAAGAGATTGCTGGTTTTATGGGACATTCTGGTGCAACTGCAGACAAGCATTATCATTGTCGTAAAATAAAGAACTCAGCAGTTGAATCTAGCAGTTCTATAAGATCATATTTTGAATATGATCATACTGATACAAATGTAAAAAAATATTCAAATATGTCATTAAAAAATTTAGATACAACTATTAATATGTCACCACCAAACAAGAGAAAGAAATGGACTATAGATGAGGAAAATATTTTAAAAAATACTTTTCATAAAGTCCCAACAATGAAAGATATAATAGATGTAATGCCATCAATCGGCATAAATACAACACCAAAAAAGCTGTATGATAAAGCAAGAAGCTTAAGAGGATCTCCTGCTGCAAAAGTATACATTTATATATGCAATTTTTCAAAGTTAGTTTTTAAGTTATGCAAATAATATTTGTTTTATTTATTTTAGACTAATGTTACACCTAAGAGACAAAAAATGTTCTCTAAAGAGGATATCCTAGCTATCCATTCATGTTGCGGCGATCTTCTTTGTGGTGGGCCATTAACACAGGAAAAAATAGAAGATGTAATCAAAGATTCTCCTTTACTGAAAATATATGATTGGCGCCAATTAAGAACTAGAATTGTTTATGAAAGAAAAAAACTCTTAATAAAAGTAACTTTTTAAGATTTTTTTAGTTTAACTTCATACTTGCATTTTTCATACATTTTTATTCATTACTTTATTTTTTACAAATTTATACAAATCAAATCAATTATTTTAGTCAAAAGAAAACGATGGTAATTCATCTAAAGATATTGAAAATGATTTCACTACTAGAAAAGATTGAATATTCTGCAACTTTTCTTCTGCTATTTTTTTTCTTATAGATTAGTTATTTACTTGATGATATTTTGTAGTATTTAAATAATTTTTTGAGGATTTAGGTGATTTTTTTTGAAGCTAAAAGATTCTTTTGAGTATTTAATTTTTTTTTTGAAGATTTAACTAACATTTTTTTTTTTTTTTGATATACCTGATGATTTTTTTTTGGTGGTTTATTTTATGATTTTTTTTTAGATTTTAACTGACAATTTTATGAAGATATACATGATGATTGTTTGAGGATTTACCTGACAGTTTTTATTTGGATTTAGTATAACTTTTTTTTTCAGAATCTTCTTGATGAGTTTTTTTTTTTATGGATATATTTATTTAAGGATTTATTTTGGGATTTTTTGAAGATTTTGTCTTATCTGTTTTAATGATTTAACAAATGATTATTTTGAAGATTTAACTGGTGATTTATCTTATGATTTATTATAATTTTTTTGATGGTTTATCTTTTTTTTTTTTTTTTCTTTCTTATCACTTTATATTATTGCTTAACTTAATGCTGCCACTGCTACTGCTGCCCATTCGTGCTCGCTTACACAAAATTTTTTACCATACTTGGCCTTTCAGTTTCATTATAAACAGAATTTAGCATGCTCCGCCTCTTTATACTTTTAAACTCAAGCGATGAGGTGCTCTCAAATCTTAATAATCTGTCAATACCTGCTCAATCAGTAATAAGATTAAAAACTTAGCTTCATCAGCCTAATTAGTGGTAAGAACAACAATTTTTATTTGATAACTTCTGTCGTTAAGGACAGAAAAATTATGTTATTTTTGAATTGGTATTTATGTTATTTTTGAATTAGTAAAGTAACTTTTAAAGTCAGGTGATTTATTTAATTCATGTATTATAATAATAACACAATTCAAGTCCTTTGTCAATTGTATTTAAAGTATATTAATCTGTAATTTTTAAGTTAGAAGACGATGATGATTCAAGATATTGCTCTTTTCAAAGGTCAAGAGGTCAAACTCTTGATAAAGTTAGTGTTTATCTCCAAAACCCTTGCATCTCACATGGTCAACTCTATGTGTTAAGGTTATATGAGTTTATATTTTGTAAGTGTGTAAATATCTTTTATATATTAATATTTTTCTATGTTTGTGATGTGTTGTAATGTTATGTGTTTATAGTTTGTAAGTGATTATTATAATCTTAACATGATAAGCTCATAATTCACGGCAAACTTTCGAATAGAAATTTTCTGTGTATCTAGAAAATGCAATGCAATTCTTTGTAATCTATTTAGAATGCACAGAGCGAATGCAAATGCCATAGTTTGTAAATCGTTTTTTTTTTCTTTTTTTTCATTGGTTCTTTTCTTTCTACTTTCTGCATAATTAGTGGTTGAAAAAAAAGAAGATTTTAAAGCGATAAAACTTTGCTTTAAAAAAATAATAAGTGAAAATACTTGCTTACTTCTAAAAACGCAAATAAAGCAAAATTACTGGATGGATTTCAAAAAACTATATATTTTTAGAAGGGTTTTATATAAACCTTTATATTCAAAAAATAGAAAGGAAAAATAATTAGTAAAAACCGATATTTTTTAAGTTAAGATAAAACGAATTTTATGCATATAACCTAAAAAAAACATTCAAACACATTGTTGTGATTACTCTTTTCGATGTAACTTAACATACTATTAACTTATCTAGCAAAATAATACACAAAAAACGCTTTTTAAACAAATCCATCGAACTCCGGCAATTTCACTTATTCTCATGATTGATTTCCTAATAATAATAATAATAATAATAATAATAATAATAATAATAATAATAATAAGAAGAAGAAGAAGAAGAAGAAGAAGAAGAAGAAGAGGAAGAAGAAGAAGAAATCGAAATGGAAGAAAAAAGTTGGATCATGCTGAAGCTGCACTAAATACTATTATTTAATATCAACTTTTTGATTCAATTTGTTTTAAAACAACTGTAAATTCTTTATTTTTGTTTTGAACTGGTACTATTATTTTTTATTGTTTATAAAAAAAATGTAGCGCTTATTGTTATTAAACAAATATTGTATTCTTTGGTGATTTTCAATGTTTTTTATCGCTCTTAAAGTTACCTAAATAAATCATTATGTAAAGAGCCCCTAAAACTTAAGTAGAAGAGCTCATTATCATGTTATTAGGTAGTTCAATTTTTAAACTTGTTGAGATTTAAGGGTCCCACAAACGGGGCAAAGTTTTCTTAAAAAAGGGGTAAAAATTGACCTTTGCCCTATGTGGGGACCTTTCAGACGCTTAAAAAAATTGTTGTAAAAAATTTAAGTTTTAATTTAGGGTCAGAGCAGATCGTAAGCTAGAATTCTTTTCAAAATTTTAACATGACCTATTTTTGAATAAATCTTATATATACTAGCAGTAAGCAACCCGTAATACACGTTGTTAGTAAATAAAATTAAAAAAAAAACACGTATAGAAAAGCCTAGAAACTACTTTAAAATAGAAAAGCCTAGAAAATGACGTAACCCGACTAATAATAATAATATTAAATGAGCGTATTCATATTATCAGATATAAACGCATTTAAAAATTGTTTTAAATATTTGTAAATTTATGTATTTTGACTCTTAATATGATTGTAAAGGGCTTAATCATAAGATCGTGTGATCTTCTGGAAGTCCTACCAGTAATATATTCAATGTAAATTTACCTTGTACATACTATTCTGGAAAAAAAGTAAAAAATAAATAAAAGTGCAAAATGAAAAAAAAAATTTGTTAAGTGATTTATATGTATATATATATATATATATATATATATATATATATATATATATATATATATATATATATATATATATATATATATATATATATATAAATATATATATATATATATATATATATATATATATATATATATATATATTTATTTATTAGATCATAATAGAATCAGAAAGTCCAGTGTCAAATACTTCTTCCCTTCTAATATCAGGTATTCATTTTAAAATTTTATAAGTAAAATAGTAGTCGTCGGTACTAAATGTAAACTGCTTAAGTAAACATGTCGCAGTGAAATGTTTTAATATTTTGTTTGTAGTTAAAAAAAAGATAATCGTGGCATAAGTTTTAACTTTTAATTTATAAGTTAATAAATATAATTATTCTTTTCAAACTAGTTAACAGTTTATAACTTTTGTTTCAGAAAATATTGACTTTGTAGTTGAAAATGTTCCAACCGGTGAAAAATCTACTCTTGCAATTTCTGTACACAGTGTTAGTAACTTAATTAATTTTAAAATGTTATATTAACTTATTCTTAAAATTTTATCTTCTTATCTTCCTTATTTAAGATTCGTTTTTTAAAGCGTTTTTTTTAAACATATTTAACATTTAATTAAACATTACTTATTTAAAAATTTTAGTAATAATTAAATTTTTAAAATTTGACAAAACAAAAAATAAGTTTTTGTACAGAATGCGAATTTTTAATTTTTATCACAAAAATTATAAAAGAAAAAAAGGATAAAAGTGAACGCCACGCTTAAATTATGCAATGGCCTCATGTAATGAACATCTGAAGATTTTTATGCTGATGAAAGCACAAAATCTTCATAAACTATTGGTTAAAAACCAAAAGCTTTATTTTTTCTACTACTTATCAAGCTGTATCTCATGAATTGTTATAATAAAAGTTTGTTATAATATAATAAATTTGTTCTAATAGTAAATACTCTTGACATGGATCCTACTGTCACGGTTCAAGTGACAAAAAACCTAAAAGGTAATGATATTTTGAAAGTATAAATCCAATTTTTGAAAAAAAAAATCATAATGATAAGTATTGCAAGGATTGTTAGTAATATGATTTAGTAAATTTGATTCAGTTTGAC